GGAGTAAGTGACCTACTCTACAGGTCATGATAGGTGGTAAAAGTTACCGATGTAACAAGGACACCATCACAAATTGTGCCCCAACCTCATGGAATGACCCAAATGGGTCTTGTTCTTTTCAGTCAGTATTTTAAATGGTCTTGCCTTTGGTGTCCCGACCCAATTTTAACCACTTGCTGCCTGATGAAATTTGAAGTTGCATGATTTGAAACCCGGAAATTTTCAAGTTTATCCATTTTTAAAATTCTTCAAAAATTCATAACTTCATTTACTGGACGTTTACACCCACATAAATGACTGTCTGGTTTCTAGTCTAATCAAACAGACAACACCTATTGATACCAGAGTATTTCAGCCAGGCCTGCCGCCTGGTAAAAAGAGCCCAGATTGTGTGGTGTTACATGAGATTCTTTTGTTCCCAAAACTGGCACAGTGCGTTACTGGCATCTGTTCAATAAGGGCCAGATTAGTGTGCAGCGGTATTGTATTACTAATCACTGGAGCGCTTTTGTCCCTGGTGGTCATCCGCTCACGCTGCAGGCCAAAAACAGTGGTATAATCTTTCAAAACAATGACGGATTTCCTCCTCTATTGACAACTGAAAAAATGTTAAGAATTCCCAGCAGCTTGGTCTTTTGTTCCCCAGTTCGTGTATAAAGCCTATGTGCCTGAAACCGGGCTCCTGGTTATGGTTAACACTTGCAAAAAATGAATCCCACGTATTCAAACCTGCTGTAAACCCAGTATGAAATACTGTCTACACATGTATGTGCATTACAGTGCCACTCAAGGGTAAAGCCACTGTAAAGCAGATCAGTCTTCACTTCAATGCAAGAATATTACTTACCCAATACATGTACAGAACTGAATAGCTGAGAACCATTTAGAATCAGTATATGTGTTGTACGACATTTTTGGCTGGTAACAGCTCAGTAAAATACTGTGGGAGAATGTTGTGAGCTGTTCCGCAGTTTTAAACATCAATACTCTGCTTGTGCGTTTAACTTGTGAGGTGTGCTTTTGACTGCCTCACTTAGGTACTGCAATGGAAGCACTTCAGGGAATGCAGAGTTTTCTACGAGGGAGACCCAAGCAGTTCAGATCATTAGAGTATGCCATTGAGTGGGCGTAAGTAAGCACATCATGTCAGGGGAGTGTTTAACTGTGGCAAGCAATGGTGTTGAGGGATCTTTGCCAGACTCAAGAATTTGTTGAATTTGGATTTATGGGAATGACTGAGTGAAACATTTCTGGTGAAGCAGTACAGAGTGTAGAAGTGTGTCTCAGTGGTCTGGATGTCATTGCAAGAGCAATAATTGATGTATTGTGATGGTGTGTCCTCTCTGTGGCTAATCACATTCAAACCACATAGCAACAGATGTCAAAAAAGAGGTTAATGTCTGAATATGCTGGCATCGGGAGTGCAACCACTGCAGATTTCATGAAACATAGCAGACTAGTTTGTTTTGAATGTTGCAATGCATGTCCTGAATCGTTCCACTGGATTAATGACAGGGTCAAGAGTGGGCAGATAAGGAACCTAGAGTCAGCCAGAGTGTCCATGGTGGGACAGCTGAAAAGGTACGGTCATCCTTAAGCTAGGAAGGGGTTAGTGAGGAAATATTTTGACAAGTTTTCTTTGCTGAATGTGTCCATTTACATTGACAGTCCCACAACCTCCAACAGTTGGAGTACTCAGGACTGCCCCAGAATTGAAGTTAACCCAGCAGTCACCTAAACCATAGTCTAGTTTCTTGGTCAAACTTTAGTTGCTTTTTTACAAAATGAATTTTACCAGTTGAATGCTTGTTGAACAGGATCACATGATGTGGATGGTTTTATTTCTGGTATGAAAAATTCTTGACTAGATATCTCTTCTTTAGCTTTGAGGCTCAGTTTATGGGTTCTTTGAGTAAATTTCTAGCAAATCTGTTTATCGATAAAAGTTGCTTTCACCCTTTGCAGGTAACATCTGCGCATTACATGCCTAGAATCTTTGGGGGAAAACAAGTACCATTCTAATGGCTGAAATAGTATAAACATTGGTATTTTTTTATGTTGTAGGTGTCCCTGTCCAGTTTATCAACTGTCTGTTCAAATTTTTCTTCAGATGTAGTCAGGAATGCCAAACTGTATCTGATCAGGTGCCTAGCTGTTCAGCAAGTGAAGCAATTGCAGAGGAAGACGAGGAACTAGAGAATCCCAAAGATGCCAGCTCACCCACCCAACAACAAGAGGTAGGTGGTATACAATCGGTCTACACTATCAGTTCTTGAGTTCATCAGGTCATTGAGGAAGGACAAAGAAGGAGTAACTACTCTGGCACATCACGGTACTCGACGATCATCGCCGCCTCGTCAGACGAACAATAGTAACCATTCCAAAAATACCTGATAACAAGGGGGCCAGTAATATCGTTGCAATATTTGTGGTGGTTTCTTTGCAATTAAGTTCAACTTACTGCAGTGACCAGGAAATCGAAAGAAAAACTAACATTAAATTTACTTTTGCTGTCGTGAATAATTTTTCTAAAGATTTTGATGCACTTTTCCATTATCCATGCAATGTTTGTAATTTTATTTTGTCACTCCAAATCATCAGTTTTCAAAGCCTTTGTACGAATTTGGCTAAGACTGGCCAACAACATGTTGACCACCACAGGACAGTCAAGTTCATAAAAAACAAAATGCTCTGTTTCCTCACAGGGAGTGATCATGTGATTTCATAAATACCCTTTTGTATAAATTCTGTAATAAAATGATTCAAATAAAACACAAAATCTTATAAACAACTTGACTATTTATTCCCAAAATAAGTCCTGAAGAAAGTGTTCAATGAGGGCAGTAACCGCACATGAACATTTCAGGTACACAGCCTAATAAAAGCAGCTGCGGGTGATGTTGTGGTCAGATCACACCAAGCACCAACGATGGCATGAATATTCAACTTCCTATACTGCAGTGCACAACGTTTTAAGGATGTAGATTACCAGTGAAAAATTGCGGCAATGATCATGGGGTACAAAGGGGGCTTATGGTTGTGAAACAGGTGGTGCGTAGCAAGCATTCACTGCGCTCTGGTTATGGACATACTGGGTATGCCAGAAAGCTTTAATTGGCCAGATGTTATAGCCCAGGCAGTTCAAACTCCTTCTGTGTCCTTCCTCCATGATCAGGTACTGTAGCTTAAAAGCTTTGTGCATTGTGCTATCGACTAGTTCCAAGCCCGGACACTGTCCTTAGGTATTTGGAATCAAATTCTAATTTTTGGAATGAAGTTTGAGACTAGTGAGATGTCATGTTGCACAGTGTCAGGGGCTGTTCGTTCACAATGCCAAGGGGTCATGATGTCTGTGTCTTTGAGCAAGATAGTTAACCACAATTTCTTCTAGGCTGTAATAGCAAAACCAGAAATGTGTTTTTCTGTTTGAGTTGCTGTATTCTGGGAATGATAGAATATCTGTGGAGAGATATATTGACTTCAAGCTACTTAGTATGTTATAAGAGATTCCAGCGACAATTGTTTGATATTCTATTTCAGGAAGTCTCAGCATCAACCTCGGTACCTTACACGTGGAGAGTGGATCTCTCAAAATCAGAAACCTACTGGAAAGGTATAATAAGATGTCTGAGGTGTTTAACTGCCAATTAGGGACTGTAGATCACTCTCTGTATATTAACATTCCTATATTTACTTATGGAGAAATATTTGATATCTTGTTTGTGCAGTTCGGATGCACACTTTGAGTAAATACAAATAGGCCATATAAATATGTTGTATACCAATTAGTGGGTTCACTTATATTCTGTATTTTAAAAATGTTTTAAGTGTGAGGCAGCAGCATAAATGCAATGATGTCAGTTGACATGAAGCAACTTTAATATTAGGTCATGCAATGTAGCTTGTACGTTTAAGTTGCCATTGATTCTGTTGGAGATCTGAAATGTGTATCCACATTTTTATTGCATGTGATAAATATTTGAATTTATTGATTGTTTCTGTGCAGGATGGTTTGAAGGCATGTCCAACCTCTTCCTTTCATGTGCAGTACCAAAGATGCTGCTCATAGCAGGTAAGAAATCATGAGTAGTGTCCTTTGTGTCTGTTTCCACAGTGCTGGGGTAAATGAGCTCACACTTCAGCTAGTTGCTTCATTACTGGTCACCCCATGAATTTCACATTGAATGGGCTAGGTTTAGGGGACTTAACAACATAAATATTTGGAATTTTATAGGGCCATGAAATTTGGAGAATTGCAGGTTGGTCACTGTCAGTGAAAATAAGTGGCTCAGCTTCAAAAAGGCATTGATGATGATTTGGACCTCTTGAATTTTGAAGGCTGCTGTTAGAAATGACACACACACCTATGGAAGCCACTGGCTGAAGCCATGTTCAGCTCTGTAGTTAAACCCATCACAAGTCACTTCAAGTTCATGACAAGTTATCCAGTCTTGAGTCAGAAGCTGTTCAAAAGAACTGTGGCAAAAGCTTTCCTTTGTTCTTTTGGCCCCGTTACTTATGACTGATCTTTTGAAAAGACTTGCCATCTGCTTTATTGCAACACTGGCCATTTCCCATAGATGTGTGTTGCCCAGAGTCACAGTTAATTGATTGGGCATAACCTAGCATAGATTTTGTTTATTGGACCTTCCGCCAGTATGTCAGGTTACATCAGAAATGGAGATTATGTATATGTGTGTTTTCAATAGGTGTAGACAGGCTAGATAAAGATTTGATTGTGGGTCAGATGCAAGGCAAGTTCTGGATGCAAGTACTACCACAATGTGGCCATTGTGTGCATGAAGATCAGCCACAGAAGGTAGATATGGCTTGCTGCAGTCAATCGCTAGGAATTCTCAAGAAACAAAGGGGATATGTCATTAATTCAAAACTTGCATATCGAATATTGGTGCTTTGCTGTGTTGAAAATGGTGTGTAATTCTGAGTGGGAACTGCAGAAAAAGAGTGAAGCCAAATTGAAAGAGCTGATTCAATGACGTGTAATTTGGGTCTTTAATCAAATCCAATGCCAAGACGGATTGTTTAATACCAAGCATACATGTTCGTGGGGGAAAAAGAACAAAGGACTCTTGTTTTCTTTTAAAGTCAAACACTTTTCGAAAAGGATCCTTTAAGATACATGTATGTACTAGTGTACTGGAGAGTGTTACATCATAGAAATAAAGGGAAACACAATGTGTTGTCCATGGAGGTATTGTAAAACTGGGAAATTCCAAAAATGAGGGGGCTATTTTTTTCATGTCCCTGTCACATCTGACATATGATTTTGAAAGTTCACAACACGTTTTCTAATTTCTAGGAGTGATGAACTAATGCAGATCACCTGCCAAACAAATAGTAATAGTTTGAAATCAATCCCAGTGATACTTCAGTGTCAGTAACAAAGGTCAGATGTAACAGGGACATGTCACACTTTTGGACCCCTATTTTCTGGAATTACCCAACTCTGATTGTTTGTGTAAAAGGAAAGGACTTGAATTCTGGACTTGACGGAAAAGTGATATGGTTTATGATGGTTTACATGTGTGCTTTGTTTCACAGGTTGCTGATATCTTGGCATCTTTCTTGGTGAGGAACAAACTTGCTGAGGCAGCTGATGAGTTTGTTCGGTGAGCTTGCTTTGTGAACAATAGCTTTATGTTGTGCTTATTACCATCATAGGCAAACCTTGAATATACTGGTACTCTGCATTTGTTTTCCAATATTTTTAAATGACAATGACTTTTTTCTCTCTTTCAGACCTTCCCCTGCATGCTGACAACAAGACACTTCCAGATTGCAGTGAAGATCAAGCTCTTGTCATTTCTTCAATATTGGCTGTAGTCATGGCATCTTGAGTGTGGAGGCAGTGTAAGGCAGGAAGGCATTAACATCACAATGCTGATTTCTATGCAGTACCAATAATCACCCATGGGATGTTGTCCACACTTCATTATTCCATTACTCCAATCTGTACATGTGGACTATGGAACTTACCTGATTTTCGCAGGTTTTGGCTAACAAGTGTGAAGCTGTTAAGCACCTGAAGATGGCACAGTTGATGACATGAACAACTTGCGCTCAGATACTCAGATACCATAATGTTGGCATTAGGCGACTGACCAAAAGAGCACATGCTGCAGAAATGATCTCTCTGTGCTGGCTACCAATTTAAACATGACCGCATCCAAATATGAGGTCAAGAGCTGGGCCTTTGTCTCTGCTTGTGGAAAAATACTGTTTATGGCTTGACGTTGATGATAGACATAGCCACAGTCCCGGAAGCCAGTGTTTGACGTGGCCAGTGTTACATAGAGGGTGACATAAATGAACAAGTCGTCCTGTGATTGATCTATACAGCCGCTCCAGGGGTTGGTCTGTGTAAGGGTTTGGGAGGAGGCACAGATACGCAGCTGTTTGTAATTGCAGTGCAGTTGCACTGCCAACATGTGAGTTTGCTTGTTTTCTTCACAGAGTAGGTTTTTTATTCTCACGAGGATCCCATTTTATTCATCGTGCAGCCTTTGTTTTAAAGCACTAGCTGTGGTAACTTTGAGGATATTCAAAATATTAGGTTCTGTCTCCAATGATGTTTTTGTGATACAAGAGACATTCCACATACAAATTCCAAAGTGACATGTTACAAATAGATACCAATAGATTTAGAGTAAGTGCACGTAGTGGTGACCTGCGATTACTGTTTTCATGATACGCATGTTTACATTTTCCTGTTTTACTCTTGTAATTTTCTCAAATTTGTTAGGCCCTCGATGCCATAGTGGCAGCTGTAAACGCATCTCTGTAATAACTGTTAGTATAGCAACATTGCGAAATGCACAGACCATAAACTTGAATGTTGCAAAGTAAGATCTCACACTCACAGCTCCTTAAAAAGTGACCCAGAACCTTTCTGAAGGCATCCTCCATATACTCCACCCTATTCCTCTTACCCAGTTCTCTTCTTCCTCATCTAGTACATCTGTGCCCTCTATTGTGCGGTTTTCACATGCTGATCCATCTCAGTGTTATCAACAGTGTTAGCAAGGCTGCCTTCTCTTTTACAGTTTTGTCACTTTAAACTCACTTCTTATGGCTGTTTGTTTTACTTTAACCATGTTCATACTTTCCGCAAAGTAATCATTCAGGCTATCTCTGCAAAAGTGGCCATGTGGCATTTCTTTGCCAAATGCCTGCAGAGGGTGGGGCCCTGGCCTCTGTAGGGTGGAGAACGAACTCATGGTAAGAGCTGGATTGGATGGACACACAGCAGCTTAGATTGTCAGGGTTTCTCTTTTATAATGAAGCCCTCCAATCAACAGTCATCAAATAACCTGGATACCCAAAGGTAGACATGCTCTGAATAATGCTGCACAGGACTAGGTCGAAGCCTCCTAATCTTGGTTAAGAAATCTCCACTCCACTTGTGAAATCTTCTCTCTGCAGTGAATCTGTCATGGACAAGAATAAGACTACTCCAGTTCAACAAGATTATGGGCCTCATGGGATATCAACATGTGGTGTAAATAATAAACGTAGGATGGCCTTGATTGTCATAAAAAAGTCTGCCTCGAGAAGAAGCACCTCCCTGATCAGTTGAACAAAGCCAGGTTGGTCAGGAGTGCTCATCAATCGCTATATTATTTTATACGAGCGACGACACTCACTGCAATGCATGCATTACTATGTACCAGAACAGTTTACACATGCGCAATATTACCTTGTGCATACTGTTTGAGCCCTATCACTTTGAGCATCCATGCATGCATTGCCTGGCATTTCTTCATTAGACCAGGCTATCCAGCCAGACCCAAGGTCGTTTCATTTCATTTGGACAGTACAAGAACTGTGGCTATAAAGGGCGTTTGGCATGACCAGTCTTTCTGTGTGCAGTCAGTAATATTTGTGACCGTTTAGTTGCCAGGTCCCTAATTTTGCCACCTATTGTTGAGTCTCATTGCTTTTCACAGTGAGCGGCGAAATAAGGGACCTGGCGACTATGCCTTCACGGACGTTAGAGGTGTACATCAAAACTTGGAGACTCTGAAAAGTCTATTCATTTGAAGACAGAATATTTCCCAACAAAGGGACTTTTCCACAAGCAGACTTGCATTGAAAAGCCTGCACTCCATAATTAATTGTTCCCCATATGTTTGGTTCAATTATGTAAGTGTGGTTTGTTCAGATGAGTGTTTCCAGTTCTTATGAATTTTGACATCATTTATATCATTATTTTGATCGTGCTTCGACTAGGGACCGATCATGATTTTTTGAAATGTCTTTAGGTGATCAAAACACATGAATTGATAGAGGGTAAAAGTCTGACTAAAATGCTTTTTTAGATGGGGTCAATAGGTGATTCCATTGCCGAGATACACCATTTCAAAAATTTGTGACTTAGGGCAATTTTGGAAAAATTGGTCAATGTGAATAAAGGTTTCTGAAGACCTCTTTTTCATTGTTTATGACCCAGTTTTTTGTCATAATCAAAGTAGTAAACAAATTCGAACCGCTACAAGACCATTAATACAAGCCTGAGAACAACCAAATTGTGTGTACATGATATCATTATGGAGACCTTTCCATCCGTCAACACCAGAGTCTTTGGGACAATGTTGAGTTCCATGACAACGATATAAACAAGTTGTTTGTTTAATAATGGTAAACAAGGGCAGGTTTTTATATTGGGATTGTTTCTATGGAGACTCTTCACCTTTTCCATGCCAAAAAAAAAACCACAAAAGTATTTTTCATTTTCTTTATATAGTAACTTTTATTTGTTTACCATTTGTTTATCTATATTTACAGAATAAACTGCTGTAAACAAAGTAATAAATTCAACAATAAAATAAACCAAATAATTAAGTCTGACAATTACAGTATTTTCCATTCACGATGTGAAGTGATTGTGCTTTAATTCCATCTGACCCGTTTTTAGTTTTCTTCCTATTTCTATTACACATCAGAATACAAACCTGCTGTAAGCAAAGCAGCTGAGAAATTCAAAATTATTTAAATCATGAAGTACAAGTCAAAAACACCACCGGATTTTTGTAAACATGTTGCTTTTTGGTTGCAATGGCTGTTTCCATGCCAAAGGGAAAATCAGGTTGTTTGTTCACTCGGAAACATTGCCCTGAACACTGAAATTCATCATGGGATTTTTAACACGGTATCAAGCTAGTACACAGCCAGTAAGACAGACAGGACTGTACTTGAAATGTGATGGAAATGGATACAAACATTGTGAGATATAATCTAGTAATCATGATGTTTACTTTTTTTATTGACTTCAGAATCTCTGCGTTTAAATATTGTTTGTAGCAAAAGGAATCATGACTTTTTACCATTTACCAGGAGTTCCTTTGAACTAACTCTTTCACATCAGGGTCAGCATCATTTACAATAGCACGCAACCCATAGGTGGCAACTGGAGGGGAGGGCTTGTTACCGAACACATGGACACACATGCGGTATTCAATCATTTTCCAGTTGAACTTGTTATCTTTATACCAGAAGAACCTCAGATAATCTCTGTCCTCTGCAGGGACTTTAAAGCAGTAGAACATGCTTTCGATGTCTGCACACACTGCAACTCGGCTGATTTGGAACCTCAACAGCACCCCCAACAGATTATTGGTGAGATCTGGGCCTTTGAGGAGGACTTCATTCAGAGACAGTCCTCCAAACGAAGCTGACGAGTCGAATACCCCCCTTATCTTGCCAGGTTTTTTGGGGTTGTAGACACCAAACAGAGGAAGATACCAGTATTCCGTGCCATCTGCAATTGGTAAGGCTTTCTCTGCAAGCCCCTTTGTGGTCAGCACACTTTTCTTTATAATCATCAAGTGAAAAGAATAATACTTTTGGATCATTGTCATATTTATATTATACCATGAAGGAAGCCTGGCACTTGGCTTATAACTGTTCCTATAAACCATTCCTCATTATCTTCAGTATTCCACAATGCTTGATCCTTTTGCCTATTAAGATTGGGACAATCAAGAACTTGTTATCTGGTGTTTTTTTGCACAGATTCTGGAACACTTTTGGCAGCATTTATGAATTTACACTCGTATTTCAAATCTGATGAATTTTTTTCCTGCCATTTGAACCTGGAGTAGGAACAAAAAAGTTGAAGCTTGTATCACTCTCCATGTTCTGCTGAAGAACCTCTCAACAGAATCTGATTTGTTTCTTAAGTATTTCCTATCTTTTAGTTTCCTGTCTTTGTGAATTTATGAACTCTTCTTCTTGCTCATCCAATTGAAACAGTCCGGTTTCCATTATTTTACGTCAAGTTTTCTTTTCTGTAAAGCAAACGTCGTAAGTACTTTCAGCCATCACTTTTGCAGACTCATCTTGTTTATGCTGCCAGTATCCTTGGATTTTTTGCTATCATGCTTTGGCAACCAACTTGAATTTACTCCTTTCAGATTTAACTAATTTGACAAGTTCTGCTAACTCTTCATCAGATTTGCTGTCCACATAGTCTCTATATTTTTTTAAAACTTAATTGCGCTTCATTTGCTGCAGCAGTAGCATTATGTCTTGTCTGTACAAGGAAATCAATATATCCAAACACACGCTCTGGTATCTTATTAGTCAGAGGTGCTCACTGTAATATTGGGTTTTATCAACAGATATTGTGGAAATGGTCATTCATGTACAAGTGCTTTATTCAAGATGGCAGCCTCCACGGCATATTTCCATGTGTTCAGAATATGGTCGACAGAGGGCGTTATTACATGTAGTTGATAAGGCATAATCCTACACCCCCCTTCAAGTACCAATAAGCGTACTTTAAGTTTCTATTAATGTTCACTTAAGTTCACTGTGTTTCCTTAACCAATAACTTCAAGAGTTTAAGAAATGTTCAGAATTTCTTGTGAGCTTTAACTTGCTTTCCTTTTAAGAATTTGTTTTTTCTCTAACACTAGATGTCAACAGCTCTTCTTTTTTCTAACAACTAGTGTCAACAACTAACTATTGAACAAGTAAACTTTCACTCTTTTTCTGCATTGTTTTCATGCATGATGGGAACTGAAATATTGGTTTTGTTTTCCTTTTAGCTTGTGGACTGATCAATTGGTTGTTTTAGGTTGTGTTTTTATGTGTTCTATCCAGTCTATAAGTCAAGGCGGGTAGGAGGTTTCACAAAACGTCCTGAACAGATCATGACAGCAGTCAGTTGAGCACATGGTGTCTTGGACTGAGATGGAGAGGGTGTTTGTGATGGATTAGACTGTGAAGACTTGGGAGTCGGAGGAGTTGGAATTGTCTGCTCCGTCACATCAGAAGAAGATGGAGAAAGTGGTGCTGGAAGCTGTGATGGAGGGNGTTGGGGTTGGGTTGGGTGTGTTTTCCAGGGCTGAGCGGTTGCGATGGACTGTGCTACAATTGGTTTCAATGATGTAGAATCATGGCTGTGGTGTCTGGCTTATAACTGTTCCATGGGGGTCTTGATCTCTGATCCACACGGGGTCACCTGGCTGTAGTTTGGGCCACTCTCGCTCGGTGTTGGAGATTGAAGTTGCGTTGTTTGTTGTCCCGGTAGATTTCTTCCTTCTGTTGGACTTTCTGGTGGAGCTCAGGTTGGGACTTTGGAAGGAGATTTAATGGAAGTATTGGGAGTTGAGTGCGAAGCTTTCTACCCATCAATTACTCACTTGGTGAAAGTCCATTTTGTTGAGGGGTTACTCGGTATGTGAGCAGGACATTGTAGGGGCCCTCATTTTTCTTGAGTAGTCCTTTCACGGTACGAACTGCACGCTCAGCTTCACCATTTGCTTGTGGGTACCTTGGTGAGCTTGTGGTGTGGACGAATCTGTAGGTCGTAGCAAATTGTCGGAATGAGTGAGCGCTGAACTGTGGACCATTATCAGATACCACAAGGTCTGGTATCCCGTGTACTGCGAAGACTTCCTTCAGAGCTCGGATCACAGTTTCGGCAGATTGGTCATTTGAGAGAGACTTTATCTCTATCCAGCGCGAGTAGTAGTCCACTACAATAAGGAAGCTTTTCCCTTGGTACTCAAACAAATCCATCCCCAGTCTTTTCCAAGGACGTGATGGAAACAATGCTGGCATGAGAGGCTCGCGTTGTTCTGGTTGGTGTTTAGCGCAGGTAGAACACTTGGTAACCATGTCCTCAAAGCTATTGGAGATAACTGGCCACCAAATAGATGTACGTGCTCTGGCTCGGTATTTGGTGATTGCCAGATGGCCTTGATGGATGCTGTCAAGCGTCTCCAATCTCATGGCTCTGGGGATGACGATGCGATCATCATATAGAAGAAGACTGTCGACTATTGCGAGATGGCTCCTGCTTTCCCAGTACTGGTGGAGTAATGGTGAGTGCGGCATGTATGAGGGCCACCCATTTTATAGGCAGTAGTCCTTGATTTGTGCACATTCTTCATCAGCCGTTTGGGCTTCAGCGATGTCGAGTAGGCGTTGTGTACTCGCAGGGAGTGTAGTTATCTTGTGCATAGCGAAACTTCATTGATCAGTATGGAGTCGGTTTTATCTGGTTTTCCCATCGGGGCATGGATAATGCGTCAGCTGTAGTCTGGTGCTTGCCTGGTACATACTGGACCAACGGGCCAAATTGCATCAGACGTAGTCGGAAACGAAGTATGTGTGGGGGCATTTTTGACAGTTCTTTTGTCTGCAGGAGGGACACAAGTGGCTTGTGGTCTGTCTCAAGGGTGAAGTGTAGCCCCAGTATGTAGTCAGAAAATTTTTCGCACGCCCATGTTGCGGCTAATGCTTCCTTCTATGACTGCGTATCGTGTCTCTGTTTCGCTGAGAGAGCGTGAGGCATAGCGAATTGGACGGCATTTTCCATCATCTTGGATTTGAAGCAGGAGGGACCTGATACCAAATGACGACGCATCAGTGGCGATGAAGGTGGGGCGTTTGGGGTCGTAGTGAGCGAGTGCTTCAGATGAAATAAGCATGGTTTTCACCTGTTGGAAGGATCTCTGCTGTGCCTCACCCCAGTACCATACTGTGTCTTTTCAGAGCAGCTGGCGTAGTGGCTCATTGATCTCTTCCAACCGAGGAACGAATTTCCCAAGTTGGTTAACCATTCCCATAAATCGCTGCAGTTCAGTGATGTTCGATGGGACTGGAAATCCTGCAATGGCTGTAGTCTTGCGTTGGTCAGCATGCAGGCCTGCTGCGTCGATCACGTGACCCAAGAAATTGATAGTGCCTTTGGAGAATTCACATTTCTCATTGAGGGTTAGGCCAGCTTTCTGTAGGCGCTGTAAGACTGCCCGTACACGCTGGTCATGTTCAGCTTGGGTGGCGCCATGGACAAAGATGTCATCCATATGGCAGATGACACTGTTGAGGTCAATGAGGATGCTTGACATACTTCACTGGAAAATCTCTGGTGCGGAACTGATGCCAAAAGGTAGCCGGTTGAAGCAGTACTGGCCTGAGGGTGTGATGAATGTGGTCAGCAGCTTTGATTCCTTGTCGAGTGGCAGTTGCCAAAATCCACTTTTGGTGTCGAGTTTTGAGAAGATTCGACTCTGGCCAAGTTTAGCGAGACTTTCATCGACCGAGACCATAGGATGAATCGCATTTGTTCAGCTGGGTCAGGTCAACACAGATGCGGCATGATCCATTTGATTTAAGAACAGTTACCATAGCTGAGCACCAAGTTGTTGGCACTGTCACTGGAGAAACGACTCCTTGTTGAAACATGGATTGTATCTCCTTTTCCACCCGTGGCAATGTAGGGGTGGGGCACTTTACGCAGTGTGTACAAGCATACCGGCTTAGCATCAGGACACAAGGTGATGTGATATGGCATTGAAAGTTTTCCCAGGCCAGAGAATAAGTCAGGGAACTCCGCTCGGAAGTTGGGAGGTGAGTTCTGTTTACCTCGTTGACCCTTGCTACGAGGCCAAGATCAATGCATGCTTGTTTACTGAGTAGCGAACATCGCTGGTTCTGAATAACATAAAGTTGTTCAGTGATTTCCTTCTGGCCATGCTGCATGGTTGCGGTCAGCATACCAGTCACTTGAAGTGGGGTACCACCTGGACCACAGAGGGACTGATTTGTCTCTTTGAGTTTTACTCCACTGAGCCATGGTTCTGTGTCACTGATGAAGGACACTGTCACCCTAGTGTCGAGCTTAAAACGGGTACGGTGTCCAGTTACGGAGATGTGTGCGCTCCAGTAGTCGTCGTTGTTGACGATTTCACCAAGGAAGGGAATGTCATCATCGGGTGTGTCTTGCACTTCATGGACCTTTGTAGTGCTGCGTTTAGGGGTAGGGGCACTGCGACAAACAGTCTTGAAGTGGCCTTTTTTCTGGCAGTTGTCATATACTGCATCCTTTGCAGGGCATTGCAGGCATGAATGACGTGTTCTGCCACACTATTTGCATGTCCCGGTGGCTGGATCTCGTTTTGGCTGTTGGGGATGGCTTTTTGGCTTTTAGTGGTTGTGGGATGCAGCTTTGCGTTTGGTGACCTGGTCAACGTTAGCAGGCTTCATATAGCTGCGCCAACTACCAAGCTAGCAATCAATGGCAGACACGCTCTCATGGATGTAACTTAACATGTGATTTATTCCGAGTGAAACATCGTTGAATGACATTGAACAGTAGAACATCATATCTTCATCCTTCAACAGCACCACGTCTCCCACCTTAATGTTCTGTCTAACTTGGTTCCACTTCTGACGTGAAGTGAGAGAAGCAAGGTGTTCCTTTCTCCATCTTCCCCAAAACTGTTCCGCTAGGCACTGAACCCTTCTCCAACGTTTTCTGATGTACAGGTCTTCTCTGACAAACTTCCCGGGAGGTGGCAAGGCTGTTGTTGATTTCATTGTCAGAAGGTGATTCGGGGTGAGTGGTTCAGGGCTCTGAGGATCACTTAGATTATCTACCGTAAGTGGACGATTATTTATGATAGCCATGGCTTCATAGAGAAAGGTGTCCCTGGAGCCTGCTGCATGATGGACATCAGAACACTTTTGACTGTTCGGATTTGTCGCTCCCACACACCACCAGCATGACTTGCGTGTGGAGCATTCAGTATGAACTCACATTGACTCTTCGCCAGGAAAACCTTCACTCTCTCCATGTCAAGCTCCTTGAACAGTTCTCGAAATTCATTTTTGGCTCCCTTAAAGTTTGATCCCTGATCAGAGCGCAATTGCTGGACAGGGCCCCTCAGGGCAATGAAACATCGAAGTGTATTGATGAAGCTATCTGTGGTCATATCATCAAGCACTTCAGTGTGCACCGCACGTGAGCACATACATGTGAACAGGACTTCATACTTCTTAAGCTCCTTCCTGCCTTCCCTTACAGTGAACGGACCAAAGCAGTCTACACCNTTTGGGTTGGGTGTGTTTACCAGGGCTGAGCGGTTACGACGGACTGTGCCACAATTGGATTCAATGATGTAGGATCGTGGCTGTAGTGTCTGGCTTATGACTCTTCCTTGGCGGGCTTGATCTCTGATCCACACGGGTTCACCTGGCTGTAGTTTGGTCAACTCTCTTGCTCGGTGTCGGAGATTGAAGCTACGTTGTTTGTTGTCCCGGTAGATTTCTTCCTTCTGTTGGACTTTCTGGTGAAGCTCAGGTTGGGTCTTCGGAAGGAGATTTGATGGAAGTATTGGGAGTTGAATGCAAAGCTTTCTACCCATCAATAACTCATTTTTCTCACATTTTCTCACTCTGTTTCTGCATTTGAAACTTCTCTTTCTTCAAACGTTGGCAGCTCTTGAAAATGGCCCTAATTTTGGGCACAGCCTTGTATGAATCTTTCTTGAGTTGCATTTCTTCCTTTTTTGTCTTTGCAGCAAGCCAATTACCTGTTTTATTGAAGGTGAACGTAGTCGCTACCTCAGCACACAGGGTGCTGATGTGTGGTTTATATGTTAGCAGTTGGTCAAAATCGCCAAATATCATTTCACAAAACTTGTGTTTTGCAACAATGGTAGTTGCTTTTGACATATCTCTTCTGACTCAATCCCTTCATGAATTCCTCCAGGCAGATGGTATAGCTGCACCAACTACCAAGCTAGCAATCAATGGCGGACACGCTCTCACGGATGTAACTTAACATGTGATTTATTCCGAGTGAAACATCGTTGAGTGACATTGAACGGTAGAACATCACGAATGTCAGTGAACATTGTGAACGTTGGTGAACATCACTCATGGAACATCATAGAACATCATACAGAACATCGTGAGATCTGACAATCGAAAACATGTAACCATAACAGTATTGAGAACAGATCTCACCAAATTAAGAATCTTACATGTTCAAACAGACAATAAACAATGAGCAGTC